CTCTGACATCTTCGTAACATGTTACGAAGTCACCAAAACTACTTCGTAAATGTTCAAATGGTTGCTAAATTCGAATTCAGCTCCAAAAACTAGCCTAGAAACATGCAAAACTCGAAAAAGTGAACCGAGGTCACCAAAGGTCAATGACCTGACCTGACCTTCAGGTGACCTTGACACCCACCCTAATGCATGGGAGCAACATCAAATCACATGTTTGAACGTTTGAAACCACGAAAAGCTTGCAAACGCGCGACTAATGCGAGCCGACATACGCGGAATCGCGATTCCGGCCAAACATGGTCTCGGAAAAGAGGTCACAGGTCAAAGGTCATTGGGGTCAGGGTCATGAAATTTTCAGGGTAGGTGTAAAATTGATCAATGCGAGGGTACTGAAAGTTTCGTCGCGATCGGCCGCTTTTTACGCGAGTTATTCGCGAAAAACCATGGGGGGGTCCATCCGACCCCCCCTACACATGCGAGGGTTAATGTAGAAACTGCGCGGTGTGAGGATGATGTTTACAAGCTGAATATGAGCCTACTGACATCCTTGTAAGTAATAATATCCTTTATTACAAGCATAATTGAAAATAGTTTTTAATTGTTTTATATTTCTAAAAATGCCTAGTATTTTAAGCTGTTTTAGGGGAAGGAGACCAAACGATACGGTGTCAGGCTGTTGATTTGATGGCAGTTAAGTAACGTTGACAGATGGCAGGTAAAAGGGATTACTTGATTGGTTGTCGTGAGAACCTTCCACTGACGTAATCAGTGTCCATCCAAGCTATCCGTCTGCCCGTCTATCCGTCTGCCCGCCCGCCTTTTTGATCTATTGAATTCGGTGTCCGGCGCCGGAGCCCTGTGATGTCCCGTCCTTGACCCGGCGCGACCCGGCCTGTCGCCGCGCCGACGGGACGTGTCTCTCCAGTCGCCTTCACGGCCGGCGCCTCGACGGCACGGGCCCTGTCTCATAACGGGCTCCACTCAACACGACATAATCAATATTCAGCCGGCCTGCAGAATAAACCGGCGCCTCCCGGTCGACCCGCTGACAGCCGCCCGCCCAAAAGGCATTCGGGTGATTGGGAGCTTCTTCACGGCACGCTGAAAGGCAGATAGTGCAAGTCGACGTGCTCTTTATTCACAAAATTACCCCGTATTCTCTGTCATATGATGGCATGTGGCAAAGCAATATGGTCTAAAAATCAGTGATTTTTAACTATTTAATGAATCATTGTCTGATAAGGGCCTAAAGCCTTACATAAGTAGCCAATAGAAATAACCGTCAGCGCTTAGGTAGGTACATTCGTTTGCGGTAATATGAAATCGCGCTTCGTGCATAGGTATTAGTGTTTTAGTGTGCACTGTTTGAATTGAACAAAACATTTGAAATTTTAAAGTGTGATTGATATTTTTCTTTAAATGGGTATGTTTCACGTGTCTACTCGAATGAGAAAATTAAAGAAACTAAAGTTAGCGAATCAAGTAGTTTAAAAACATAATTTCTATTCTTTTCATAATTCACGTAGCACCATCCCACACATTCACTCCTCTCTGTGTGGTCATTTCACATGCAGCATGCATGCCGCTTCTCACATTTAGCCGTCACGACGTCCTTGGACGACCGATCTGGGCCGTCGGGCTGTTTTCATTTTCATGAGCGGTGTGAGGCGGCCGGCGGTGGGGGTGACGGGTGCCACAGACAGCCCGCGCCGGCGGCTGCACTCGTCCATGGTGCAGTGGGGCTTCCACGTGCGTCCGTCAGTCCAAGGCCGCCGGCGCGGAACGGCTGCAGGCCGGTCGAACAGTGCACTGCCGCGCTCCGCTGACAGCGCTATTAATGGCCAGGAAGTGCAAGGCCGCAGTTACACGCTGGGTCCACCCATGTTTCACTTCAGAACACAAAGAGATGAGATTAGCTGAGTGCTTTGTTGGTATCACCTTACGCATAACTGCTTAATTTGTAGTTGAGGTATTTGTAAAAGGGAAATTTAAGTCATGCTTTTTACCTCAGCTCCGGGTTCTAGTATAAGGTACAAGTTTTCTTCAATTTCACTGAAAGCACAAGGGCCGTTCTTAGCGTAATACCCGAAGGTTGTTTCTTCATTAGACAAACATTATTTTTAAGAATTGTGTTTTTTCTATTGAAAAACAAACTGAGGTGATTCCTTTTCGGGATATATTATATGTAATTCATGTCACTGTCATATGTCTGGCTGAGCTATAGGTAAGTACTCTTGATTTTCCTAATCATTTCATATGCTAGTTAAGTGCTTAAATATGTCTAACTGTAGTTAAAAATAAACTGAAAACTTAGCTGGAATAGATACCTTTTAAATCACCTTTAAAGGGACACTCCCACCTTAACATTAGTTTTGAGTTGAGATAGCCAAATTGGTGGCCATGGCCTGCAAATACCGGTTTGGGCACTCACAACATCGAAAAATGCTTTAATTCGAAGATATGGAATTTCAAACTTGCAGTTTTCGGATTCTAAGGGGCTAATGCATTGGAATGCCCCCTTAGAATTTGTGACGTCAGCGGAGATCTAACGATTTTTAAATCTTAGACTAAAACCATCGTTAACACGTGGTGGTATACGCTGCTTTGCGCGCAACGTCTGCCGCACTTAAAGGCTGCCAAATTATTGCTTCCAAATAAAGTCGCTAGTAACAGGGGGAATCCCAAAAAGTAAACAAAAGTAAAAGCCTAATATCTTGAAAACCAGTGAATATTTTTCGGTGAAATTTGGTAGATATTCGTTTTCCTCTTTCTGAACCAAGGGACATCACTTTCATGCCAATTCATTAACTTTTTTGAAGATGGGAGGGTCCCTTTAACTAGCCTTATTTTATTTTTAGCCACTAATAGCTATCGCCGTTTATCGTGTATCCTATCCACCAGCTTCGTGGTTGTATATTCGTCATCCTGCCGCATTGCGGGCACTATGGAACACAGACCGCACTCTCATAGATGTATTTCCAGATAAGCGGTCCTCGCGCGGGTAGCTGTTTCCTTTCCAGTACCAGTACAGATGCTGTGACGCGATACCCTAAATAGCTGCACACTGAAAACAAATCTACTCTTCTCTCGTGAGTAAACTCACGGAAGAACGGTTATATGGACACCACCTATTTGACGGCCCCAGCGACCGGTTAATCAACTCACCACTTGCCGGTCAACTTTCCGATGAAGCGTGCGTTTACTCATGCATATTTACCCACGCTCGATGAGTTAACTCATTGTGAAAACTCATGCATCGCTGGTTACTCATTTCCGTTACTCTCATTCTGTGAGTTAATTTACTCATGGATGGGCGGTTTTATGGACACCACCTATTTGACTGCGCCAGCGACCGGTCAATCTACTCACCTTACTCATTGTGAAAACTCATGTATCGCTGGTTACTCATTTCAGTTACTCTCATTCTGTGAGTTAATTTACTAATGGATGGGCGGTTTTATGGACACCACCTATTTGACTGCGCCAGCGACCGGTCAATCTACTCACCTCTTACCAGTCAACCTACTTATCAGTCATAGGTAAGGTTGACCGGCAGGAGATGAGTAGATATTCCGCTGTTAATATTACGGATAACGCGACTTATCAGATTTTCATTCCCATCTTGCGTGTTATTTCGTGTGCAAAATAGCATGCAAGACGAGGAAAAACATCCAACAAGACCATAGTTACACTATCCGCAATACTAACACCGAGCAATGACACCGAACACAGAAACGTGGTCGTTTTATAGGAACAATCAACTTAAGATATCGAATGATTTGTAAAACGACAAGTGCGTGGATACCTATTGTCATGCCATGGGCGACATAAAATTGACAAAATAATAACCCTGCGCTCATTTTGTACTGTTTAGAACGAATGACAAGTCAAGAGAACAGCAAAGTTAAATCTGTATTTCATGCACATACGAACAAGCAAGCTGGACAACCTATTGTGGACGGTAACGCTCAATAATTATAGCTGTTTGCAAGACCAGACCAGCTATAGGAACCCATCATAAGGAGGACACGGACCTATTATACCAAGCAGCTTTCTATTTCACAGTCTTATGTGCGATTATGTTATTTCGTATTCTATAGAAAGGTCGTGCAACCAGCATGTGAAAGACGCAGTTTCAATAGTCATACGCAAACACAGTTTCAATGGTTTGGTTAACTGATACATTTCCGACTCCAAAGCTCTGTCTGTGCTTTACATCAAAGTGCCTTGTATCTCATTCATTAGCGTCCAACGTTTCACGTCTCTACTGTTGAGACTTAAGGGACACCCTGCAGCAAAATATAAACGAACTGCAACAAGCTAATTTAACTGCAACTAGTTATAATGACAAAAACTTGGGTAACAGAAAACAGAAACAAACAGAGAAAAGTATGAGGCATCAACAGAACTCTGCCGGTCAGTCTCTGTCCCGGCAGCTGGTCACTTAAAGGAAATAGTTCACTTTCACGAAATTATTTTTTTTTGCAACGATTTATTATTTTTTATGTTCAAAATAATCAGCAAAGAAAATAAAACCTTTTTATAACAAAATATTTTTTTCTATATTTTGATATAGGAAGAACTTTTCAGTTTCTGTAAGGCACAAGCGATCCAGTATGAAAAGAGCATGGGTCCCGAAAATTCTTCAGAAACAGAGAAATTATCGCAGCCACCGGCATTTGGGCGATCTGCTCGATCTGATAATGTTCCCCTGAATGTCCTAATTGATCAGTACGAGAATTTCTCTAGAGCTCTCGTAGATAATTTCTCTAGTTTCTGAAGAATTTTCGGGACCCATGCTCTTTTCATACTGGATGGAAATATATGCAAGGCACACATCCTCAACGCAAGACACCTTTTTCGGGACGAGAAATAGAATATCTTTGCCTAGGGTGATCGTTGGGCTGTAAAAGCTCCTGATTTATGCTCGTCTCAGCCCAAGCTACGGAACTGCTATTCCAGTTCAAAACCCATGTTAAAAAGTGAACTATTTCCTTTAAGTCGACCGCCGAGGTTAGAACTCGACAACCGTCTCATTCTCCACGTAGAGTATGCCAGCTCGAACTTGCGGCCATGGGTACTGGGGATGGCTGAAACACAGCTCCGTGCTCACTGCAGCGCGGTGCAGCAGGTGGTCGACTGCATCGTCTGCAACGAGAACAAATATTTTCGATATTATTAATGGTTATATCCCGAGCAAGTTGCCTCGGGTCGATCAACGCATATTTTACTCTCGAGTGATGTAACGGTTTTATTCCGAGCCGTCAGGTGAAAAAAAAACAGCCGAAAAGAAAATATACACACCCGGGGCTGGGAACAATTTAATTATGTCACCGAGTTTTTGCCGAAGTTCCGAGGGTCATCAGACCCGAGGTATTTCGATAAAATATGAGGTTATATAATTAAATTGCCAGCCCTAGGGCAAGTTCATTTCCAAACATGCAACGCTAAAAAATGTTCACAAAGTCCATAAATGCTGCTAAATAAATAAGATTTAGCAGAGGGCCGGACAACATCCTTGACGACGGGCAGGGCAACATATTATTCAGCGGAGCGAAGCCATAGTCATTCAAATGAACATTCACTCTCTATACTCACCGATAACGAGCCAGCTCTCCTCAATGTCCATCGCCGGCGGCCCGCTCGCGCTGGTGCCCTCGTCGGGGTCGGCGGTGGCGGCCGTGACCTCCGCATCGACAGAGGTGCTGGGACTCTGAATAACAAACAAATGGATGTTATTAATGTACGCCACAACAATACACAGCTACGGTCAGCCATTCTATTTTGAACAGAGTTTCCTGAGAGCAAACTAATGCACCGGTGCTGGGAGAAAATGTCATCTGATTTTGCAACTTTTAATGTTTAATTTTGCTGCAATACGTTCTACTGGTTTGTTTAAAAAGCGGGCATTAAAATTTAAAACATGTTTGTCTACGTAACAGGGCATTTTTCATAGCACGGCCTGGCAGGGTGGGGGGGGGGTCGATGCGACCCCCCTCGCGATTGGCTCCTATGGCACCTAGAAACACCAAATTTGGTAGGTAGGTGGGCCCTCTGGAGTTCTCGCCCCTGTGTAAATTTGGTTGCTCTAGGTCAATATTTAGGGTTTGGGGGGTATACATGCAAAAATTTCGCTAAAAACAGGTCAAAAGTTTTCGCTTATCACTTTTGATCTTATTAAGATAGAGCAAAAATAAAAACACCAGTGAACTCAGCACGTCAAGGGGCGTCGAATGATATACTTTTTGCTTGCTTCAGTGTACTTAATTTTTTCTTAATTATTAAGTAAATTTAATTAATTAATTAAGCTCCAGTTAACCAAATTGCATCATATCGCATATAATTCGATTCGGCTGATCACCAGGAACACAATCACACCATTTTTTTAAGCTCTAGCGTCATTGTGTGCCAAGTTATTGACAAAAACGTCATTTGACCTCAGTTGACCTCATTTGACCTGACCCATGGATATGTACACCAAACAAAGAAGCTCCAAGTGACTTGCTGTTAAGTACTGTGGTTTGAAAGCACAAAAGTGATAGAACGAAGCGGATATCTCCAGTATTTTCCGAATTTAGTATTTTCCCATAGGCTTAACATTACGACGTAATGACCTCTAACTGACCTCAGGTCAGTGACATCAAAAAACCCGAACAATATGTTATACAACTCGGTGAACTTAGCACATCCTGAAAGTTTGAAGGAAATCAGTCCAAAACTGTGAGTTGGACAGGTGCAAAAAGAAAATTGAAATTTGACCATGACCTTGTACCAGTTTTTCTGACCTAGTGACCTAGTGACTGACCTAGTGAGTAGTAAAGTAATCTTGACCTGACCCAACGTCAACCGGACCTGAAATTTTCAGGTCATATGTAACAAGGCTGCCCCATAGGCTGTGCTAAATTTGGCTGCTCCGCCGTTTTTACGCTATCTTCGAAAAACCTTAGGGGGGTCGCATCGACCCCCCCCCTGCCAGGGCGAGGGTTAACGTCCATGGGAAACTGCAGTGTGGCATGGACACTTGCCAGCCTGCGAGTCATTTGCACAAGGAATATTTGTGGTGAAATTTCATCTGAGAACAGCTCATAAGCAATTTCAAAATCATTTTTCACCAGACACCAAGCACAGCATTCCAACCTATCCACCTTCGACCTGAATCAATTTTTAGCTGGGCACCTGTGAGCTTGCATATTTTGTCATTTGTTTGCTATTTACATTTTGGTATTCCTCTGATAGGCATGTCACAGATAGCTTTTGGATGGTATACTGGCATTTTTTGTCTTTAGCAGTGATAAACCATCAATAAAGGTCAAAATTTTATTTTTTTACCCTGAATTTTAAGGCTCTGAAGTCTGAAAACCTGATGCATTTTCTAATTTAGCGCACATAGATTATAAATGTTACGCTGGACATGCACTGAAGCTTTTGGCATGCAATTTTGCCACTACAAGCATGACCCTGGCTATGTGCATATTAATAATATAAGCTATTCTGCCTGTGACCCTGGATATGGATGTACAGTGGTCTATAAATTCATTATATGCTGCTTGAAAGGCAGTCTGATACCTAAACTGCAGTATGACGTGGACGCGGGGCCACACATGTGAACTTCCTGGCCCCTTTTCTGTATATTAATGTCCCAGGCCTGCATGTAGGTTAGCAAAGAGAGCTGTCGTTTAATTCTCCGGTATTTTCCACGCACAATACACTTGATAAAGCAAAATATCTGGTATTTTACTCACCTTAACTTGCAGCACGCGACTCCCCCTGCACACACGGATCCGGCCGGAACAAAAATGGCGGCGAGGCGGCCTATGATCCATCGGTAAAGAAACACGTCAAAAACGAGTTTGATAACCGGTCGGCTGTGAGTACGCTTTTTACGCACGATTTGTGATTGTATTTACTCATAACTCATTTCCAGAACTCGCTTTCTACAGATTTAGTGAATGCATGATTCGTGAGTACGATAATTACGCGCAATACATGAGTCAAGAAACTCGCATTTCCTGACACACAAGCATTATTTCATGCGTTCGGGGCCGCCTTACTCATGGATGGCAGGTCATTGATTTCTTTGTATGAGTTTTTGTAATGAGTAAACCAGAACTCAGGGCTTGGAATGCTTCATACACGAGTAAACCAGCGGTTGAAACTCATTAGCGGCTGGTAAAATGACGTTTACTCTCCATATACGAGTAGATTTGTTTTCAGTGCACGACATCAACAGAGTGCCGACGACAGCAGCGGGTCGGCCGCTCTGCAGGGCCACCCGTGACCCGGCCCGTGATGGCACTCATCTGCATATGCATGTGACAGAGTACGACAAGGCACGTAATATACATGGGGACACGGCCCAACGCATGGTCTGTGACGAAAACGGAAGCAGCAGTTGGCTGACGTTTTATTTGGGATGGGGTAGGACATAAGAAATTGACAAATTTATTTGTTAAGTAGAATTAATCTTTGCAAATATACCAAGCGCCCTATTTCCACTCACAGATCAGCATTGCAATCCATTACCACTTACAGTGAACGGGAAGACAGCGCGGCACAGCGCGGGCGCCGGGCGGTTCGGGCGAGTTATGCGGCACAGCCTGCGTTCAGGCGCGCACCAGCGCTGCCATCTAGCGACAAGAGGCAGAACTGCTGCAGCCGCTTTGCATCCGTCTGGGCCAACAAGGTCGATATCGATGACTTTCAACCGCTCGCACTTACTTGCCTCTCACTATCTACATTTTAGTCTCACATGTTTACATATCTATTCTGCTATATTTATCAGAAAAGCAATGCCGTTAAAACAATGCCGATAAATCGGTAGCATGTCTGACTAGCACCGAATAAGATGTTTGTATGTGTGTTATGTGCGTGGGCCGTGGTGTGATTTATATGGCCTTGGTGTGATTACCCAGCAACCCGTGCGGCCCCGCGTGGTGTGGAGCTGGCCGGTTTGTCTCAGACTGCACGACCTCTGCCGTCGGCGGAACGGCCAAGGTCAGCCATAACTCCACCCTTTCCCCTCTCCCACTGCTGTTCTTCCTCCACTCTCTCCTCCGCTTGGAAGAAATGCTCCGCATTCCACGAGAACCTGGCAAACCTTTTGTCTTTGACTTTAACCCGCGCACCGACGGGGGGGGGCGGATATCCGCCCCCCCCTGAGGTTTTTCGCAGATAGCGGGAAAACCGCGGCGCGTAGCGCCGCTAAATTTGGTATGACTATTCTCTCATCAATTTTACACATGGTGTGCAAGTTTGAACTTCCTAACTTTTAAGGTCAGGTCACCAGGTCACTTTGAATGACCCAACCTCAACTCACTTTTTGCAACTTTGTCACCGTGCCAGAGCTACAGTAGATGTCGGAGGCCTTTGAAAGTCGCAGGATGTTATTAGGTCATTAGTAGCTACAATTTGTATATCTCGGAATTTTGATGTCGGTGACCAGGTCAATTTCGCGACCTCCCCATTATAAGTCAATGGGGGAAAAATCAACTCCCTGTTTTTACCACTAAAACGGGTCAGAATGGCCCCATATACCATACATGACTTCACATACGATCAACCTTCACTACCTTGAGGTCTGTTTTGCTGTTGGGCAGCTGTAAGGTCATGTGACGTCATCAAAGGTCACCAAAGGTTTTTTGCCAATAACTCCTTACAGGAACAAGATACAGCCGCGCGGATGGTCTCATTGTGTTCAGCTCGTCAAGACGCATCGAATGATATACATGATGACCTCGAGGTCACGTGACCTGAGGTCAACCTTTGACCTTGACCTTTCGAGGTCAACATATATATCATTCGATGCGGATTGACGAGAGGATCACGATGATGCCCTTAGTTTGTTCCTATCTTCACTACTTCGAAAGTTATTCGAGAAAAAACCCTCTCCATATCTAGCGCCGCCATTTTGACTTTTTCGACCCCTGTGACGTCATCTTTGACCTGACCTGAAAATGACCTTAGTAAAAATTGTAGACCTTGTCCGTGTGTATCCGATGCCGTTTACCGCTTGTCGCTATCTTGCTTCGTTCTCGAGATCTCAGGGGGGGGCGGTCATCCGCCCCCCCCCCCCGTCGGTACTAAGTTGGCGCAGACCCCCGTCGGTGCGCGGGTTAAATTGTAAGTCTTTGACTATAAATTGTCTTCAATGATGAATTATTTTGTTAAAAAGAAATACGTTACATAAATCCAATCAGTGAACAATCGGAACTGTCTACAAACAACGGAGACTCTGCGGGCAACGGTAGTGCGAACATAAAATACGAAGCCGGCAACGAGTTCGTTGTCTGTTATGTCCTCACCTAGCGTCAAGAAAACGTTCCCATTTTAGCCGCATGGGACTAGTTCACTGGACCACACGTGAGTCGTCATGACTAAACAGAGCAAAAATCCTGTTGTCAAGCCGCGCAAAGGTAAGTCTAATGGTAAAAAAATGAAGAATTCAGGAAGATCATTTTAGATTGCCTTGCACTAATATTTTCAGTTGTTTACTTGTTTCGATGCTTAGATACAAGGCATAAGTGCGTGGGACGATAATTTGTTGAATATCAATTGTTCGGGCATAAAATTGTATTTTGAATTTGCATTTCTAATTATATTATACTAGCCGTGTTCGACATGTGTCATATCGAAAGAGCCTAATTCCAACCCCATGTACCTAACATTGATCCTTAAACATTTAATCAATGCGCTCAATATCACATATACGAGACGCTCGACATACGCTCGTATGTCGAGCGTCGGGCTCCTGCGCGGTATTCGAAGTAAATGTCGTTTTATATTCAGTTTACAACATTCTTATGTAGCCCAGTACGGCGATGTCGGCGATACCACTGTCTATACGGGTCGATGGCTGGCGCAGGCAGCTGGTCAATACGGTGCAGGTTTGAGCATCAGTTGTGCAGATTTTGGCAGTGCACAGGCTGTTTTGTTGTTAAGGGCATGGGTATGGATTTTATTACAGAAAGTTATAATTTGGACTAGGAACTGTTTCTTTGCGAATAAGGAACGTATTTTCGTTTATAGTTCCCGCTGAGATTGAAGACAGTTGCAGATGCAGCTCGAACCCTTGCATACCAAAATAAGTGTAAAAAAGTGTACAGGGGCTCAGTTAGATTCTACGCTGGAACACACTGAAACGGCTATGTAGATGTTGCAGTAAATTAACAAATGAGAACGAAAAATGGCAATAACAGGCGGAGCGGGGCTTGAAGGAAAGGTAGAGGTGGAAATGCTTAGTAAGAGTAGGATCACAGATATAAGGAAACCGCATGGAACTAAGAACAAGGGCATATGGGGAGTACGACTCCAAGCCCAAGGGAGGAGAAGCTCGGGTGATGGTATTTGGTGGGAGCGGTGGGCTCGAGTGGAGGCTCAGACGAGAACGACGCTGGCTGAAAACTCGGCTGAAATCGATGTCTGACGAGCGACAGACTCTGGGACACAGGAAGCCGGCGGCAGAGTCACGAACGTCGCCAAGGTCACATGGCGCCGCCGGCGCTGGTGGGAGTCGCATCAGCCCGGCGACCGCCCCTGCCCCCGCCCACGCCGCCGCCCCCTACCACCTGCTCGGCGCACTTCCCGTCCAGGGACGCCCCAGGGACGACTGGCGCGTGGGCCGATCGGTCGCCGGTGTCCGATTGATTGACGAATTGACAGCTGGTTATGTCGGATGGACTGACTGATGTCGATGTCATATGAACCAATAAACACAGAGAGCAACGCTTTATCAAAAAACGAATCGCTCAAAACCAGTAGCATACCTATGTCAGGATCTGCAAAACATTCCTCAGATTTTTTCTCATTTGGCTCCAAGCCTCTTTGACAAAACTTCACTTACCCTGCAGAGCCACAATAGCTGATTAACAGCTGATTAGCAAAAGCTTCTGTAACTAAGCAAGAGAACATCAAAACGAGCTCTCATTTAGGTTCCAATCATGTCTAAATCCTGCAGTGGAATGCGCTCCCGTTGCTGCGGGCGGCTGCTCCAACCGAGCTCGGCTATATAATCCGGCGCGGTGATCAGCTCCGGGCCAATGTCGTCGCGGTCCGATCCGTGGAGTCGGGCAGAGTGGAGAGAGAAGGAGAGGCAGAGTGGCGACGGCGAGAGGAGAGGAGAGACGTCGAGGAAAAGGGAAGAAAGAATTATGCAAATATGAAAGGGGGTTACATAATCTGAGATGAATGATTTGAACTTGATGACTAATGGAAGAACACTATAGAGGGAGATGGAACAGTGCTGGACAGACTGTGCGAAGTTCAGCTGCTTGCCATATGTAGGTATTTGTGCCTAGTGCTCACGACGCCTGATGCTGATCCAAATTAATTTGGAAAGCGGTTATGAATCTGTTATAACATACCGCTTCCAGTGAGCGTTTTGTCCAGCAACCAACGATGCCCTTAAGACCCGACCGGTACCCATCATGTCCGCGTGATGTTGTAATATTCCTTTGTTAATCAATGTGACTCATTTCGATGTGACATAGCTGGCATGGTCTGCATTGATTCCATCACAGTGGCTGAATTATGGACGTTCCGGAGTAATGTTCGCGTCACTCCGCGGTATCCATGCGGCCGGACACGACGCTAGTTAAATACGTGGCCCTCAGCGACGTAGGTAACCAATAACCATGCATTGATTGGCGCTCTTACTTCAAACTTTCGGGTAAGGCTGCTAGTAATGTGTGTTAGATCGTCTATATTTTACAGATAAAAACTCGGACAATATAGATACCTATCTACTTACCGATCAATATTAAAACTAGGTAATCGGGATTTCGGAAAACATTACCTACTACTGGCTGGACAGTATAATCTTCTTCCTCTCCCATCAAAATCATTATGACCGATATGCTTGTATTTCACTGTT